TATGTTGTTTTCGTCTTAAAAACCTATGCTCTTGCAAGACTGATATTTTACAAGCTTGTTGGCGATTAGGAATTATTTATGGTCAGATTTCAGAACATAATGGCACATACTAATAATGCAAAGAAATAAACACATACACACACATAAACACACACGTGAGTGTTAAAACCTGAAAATTTGGCTTAAATATTCAATTCTAATCGTCCTCGACTGTCACTGGAGACTATTTCTGCAAATGCCATAGATTTTCAACCGGTTTCTATATCGGATTGATTTATTGTCACTATGAAAACCTATACTGCAAAATTGTCTTGGCAAAATCTACCAAAGATACAAAGATGATTCATCACTTCCATTTTAAAAACACACAACAATCTTTATCTTAGTTTAATGGTCAAAGTCCAAACACTAAGTTCATCATGTTCTTAAAGTAAAACATAAATTCGCTTTTTCCCATCCTCCTAAAAAATGTGATATGCAAATATACCCATTCTCATACGTCAATACTAACATGGTATTCACAAGTAATTACATCAGATCTCAATTTTACAAAGAGTTTTATTTCGTTGAATATTGTATACATATTACCTGTAACACTGCATATTGTATCCACATACTGAATGACTAGTAGTTCAGTAAGAACTAGCCAATCTCTAACAAGAATGCCTTTCTCTACTACCTCTCATGAACAGGAAGCCACTACGATCTAATATTAACACACTAATTTCCCTATTCATCTTTTAGAGTTTGCTTTTTTTCTGGTTTACTGAATCTTATCCAATATTGTGATTTTTTTTGTAATATATTTCTTGTCCACCCCCTTTAGACTTTATTTCTTGTTTGTGCTTTATGTATTTTTAATATTTGTATTTATGTTTGTCCCGTACAGCACATATATTTATGTCTTTTGTCATGCGTGTTTGCTGTTACGCCTTCGATGCCTTCCTACTACAATTGCTAAAGGGGACCTTCCCTGGCGATGGGTGCCTTAGAGGGGGTCGGTGGAGGTCAATTTTGGGGGGGTCCTGACGTATTGTTACATGTGTGAGGAAACTGTTCTTCGGTTGTTTGCCTCCATCTCGAACTATTTCATGTGCGCGCGTTTGTGAGAATGCACATATGTGCGTGTGCCCCCCGCGCGCGTGTGTGTGCGCCTCCTGTTTCTTGGTGTGTGAGGTGAAGCGTAGAGGACGGCTGAGGGCAGACAAATAAGTTCAGACGCGCGCGCGCGTGATCGCAGGGCTAAATTTAGCATTTGGTGGACCGCATGGCGGCATCGGGGATGTCATCGCCACTCAATTTTATTATTTTTTTTTTATGCTGTTCCCTAACCCCTTATCCGATCTGAATGAAATTAAGAACTTTAGAAAGATCAACGTCTGGGCTTCATTTTGGACTATAGGCGCATAGTATAATCAAACGAAAAAATATGGAAAATGAACGAAAACTTTCTAAACACTTTCAATGTAATTTACCCAATATCAGTTGTTTATTTGGACATGTGTATAAGTGCGAGTGCGTGTAAGTATGTATGCGTGTACATGAGTGTTTGAGTTTGCGCGCATTCGCACGTGCGCGTGTTTGCTGGAGGGTGATGTGGAATATGAATTACGACTGAAGACAGGAGCGTGAGTCCAGTCATGTGCCGAGGTAATCATACAGCGCACACACATGTGCACATGTGTGTATAAGTGTATGTACACTTATGTATGTGTTCGTGTGTGTGCGAGTACGATTGCTCGTGTGAGTCTGAGTGCGCGAGCGCCTGAGTTTGAAGGAAGGAATGCGCGCGCATGTGTATACCCGCGCCCGCGCGCGCGTGTGCCAGGGCTGTCAAACCAATAATAGCTTCTGCTATTCCAGTACTCGTGGCGATGACGTAGTAGTGAAGGAGTCGGTCGGGTATGACGTCCGACATGGAAGATGATGGATACCAGAAATGACAGGATAATTGTATATATGATCATCATAGGCAGATATATAGAATAGATTGTTTACTTTTCTTGCATTCAATACATTTGTATTATAACCCACACAGTAATGACATGTAACTTCCATTAGCTTCTGTAGTGAAAATGTATTTTCTGATGGTTGCTATCGGCATGGAACGAATATTGAGAGGAAATAACAGCAAATATTTTCAGTTTACTTTAGAGGTATTGGGTATAACCGAAATATACACAAAAACAGATATCTTGGCATTGATATGATGATTTCATATAGCTCCCCTCGTAAATCCTCGAGTACAGGCTATGCAAATGCATTTTGACAAGTTGTGGACAATAATGAAACTTAAAAGATAGTTGTTGGAGGGTTTACTAAATGCACACAAAAATAAGCCTTTAAAAGAAAACAACAGTTCTGACTTCACAGTTTCTGAGCCAAGCACGACTCGAACACTTAGGCAATCGCAGGGCATCCAGTAATTTCGATCGGTTGTCCCGAGGCCGCTGGCGTGCGCCTCTTGCCGGAGCGTGACAGGAAGAGCGGAGGACCACTGAAGGCATGACAAACGAGTTCCGACGCGAGCGCGCGGTTGGGGACGTTTTCGCCATTCTGTTTTACATTTTTTTGATGCTGTTCAATAATCACTTATCCGATCTGAATGAAATAAAAACGAAAGAAAGAGCAATGTCTGGGCTTCCTTTTGGTCTACAGGCGCATACTATAATCGGAAGAAAAGATAGAAAATGAACAAAAACTTTCAAAAAACTTTCAAGGTCATTTAATTGTTTATTCATTTTTTAAAAACTTTGCTACCTCCCTCACCTCACAGTTTGTGTCCGATATCATAGAGCTTTTCTCCCAAGAAAGAACTTTTTATGTGCATAGAACTGCGAATGGGATTTTGGAAAATCAAAATAATGAATTTTTAACTAATTTTTGAAACCCCAATTTTTATTTATTTTGGCAATTGTTACATGCGATAATTAAGAAACTAAACGGAACTTCCAAAATCGAATTCGTTTTTCTTTGTGTAACCTAGAGATTTTCTAAAATAATAATAATAATAATAATAAATAAATAAATAAATAAATAAATAATAAAAAAAATAATAATTAGACTAGGGAGGTACAGAAGTGACCTATCTATCAAAAATCTATTTTTTGATGGTGCTTAAATTCCCTTCAGCCAAAATTTAAAAGAATTGATCAAAAGATGGGTTATGAAGTATTCTTTTATCCTACCAAAATTCCTGAAAATCTGTTTTCTATTTTTAAACAACAATCGAAAATCGGCGATATTTACAGAATTCTTCAAGGACGGTTCCCTAAAGCCCTTCCTATGACCACTCATGGTTAGTAGGTCTGGCCAAGAGAACACAAACACATGGCAGCAAACTATAATTTAATTTACAATACACATACGACCAGTTTTTAAAATTATGAGAGGTCTGTAAAACAAAAATTCTGTTCTTTAAAGCTGTCTGTATATTCTTGGGAAAAAGTCACTTTCATTGTTGTCTACATCAAATTAAATGGTTGTGGTGCTACCTTTTTATGTATTCGCTCAATTCATTATGGTTCATCACGGTTCATCATATCATAGTACTCGATAGCATTGTGATTTTTTTTTTTTTTTACAGACAACACATGCACAGTGGGCACAATACTTACCAGGGTCCACATCTTAGCAACACATTTATAACCGACAGTATTTCAAAGATCCATATACTTATACATGTATATATATGTGTGTGTGTGTGTGTATTTGCTTCATTTGCTGGTTTCAAGTTACCATAGATCTGCACCTTAAAAAGTCATCATGCATGCATTGATACAAGAACAATATTTCCAACAATTGACCTGCAATGCTGGAGAATTCTTTCCAGTGTACAGAGCTCAGCAAGTGAAATATAGAAGACAAACTACTGCCCTGGTAGCAGATCTCCCCCTCCAAATCATTGATGTAATTCAAGGGAAGTTCAAAGCCCATGCAACTTGGCCCAAGAACAGTCAGGAATTCCCAGAATGAAGTTAAAGTCAGTTGTCAGGGTTTACTAACTCTGGTGTCTAGGTAGAACACCTTATTACTAGAGACCAGATATATATATATATATATATATATATATATATATATATATATATATACATTTACCTATGTGTATATATATATATATATATATATATATATATATATATATATATATATATATATATATGTATATATATATACACACTCACACACATACTTGTCAGGGTGAAGCTTGTAGGGGAAAGCTCTAGGGAACCCAACCGGTGGATGATGGGGCATGCAGCCTGCCACCCCCTTTTATATGGGGCAACGTCGGCGGGGTTGGCAGAGGTGGCATCTACCTGCAGTGACTGCCCGTGGCTGAACCTCAGGCGGGAAGTCAGGGTGGGGGCTTGGAACGTCCGTTCTTTGTGTCAGGATGATTGGATGATCGGTTGCCTCTACTGTCGATGGAACTGGAAAGGCTGAGAGTTGAGGTGGCTGCTCTCTCAGAGGTAAGGAGACCTGGCAACGGCATGACCAGTGTAGGTGGCTACACCTATTACTGGTCGGGCTGCAGCGACGGCCATCATCTCCAGGGAGTAGCCATTGCCATTGAGATTGAAGCTATCTTTTGGGTTCATGTCTCTTATTGTTGTGTACGCTCCTACCAATGTTTGTAAACTTGACTTGAAAGAGATGTTCAATGCCAAACTTGCATCTGTGGTAGACAGATGTCCCCGGCGACATATTTGCATTGTTCTGGGTGACTTCATTGCGGTATCTGGCTGTGATCGAGCTGGCTATGAGATGCTTGTTGGTCCCCACGACTCAGGAGCTGATTCCGGTAGTGAGAATAGCCTCCTTTTCTGGGACTTTGCTAGGTCCCAGAAATTGAGGATTTCTGGCTCCTGGTACCAGCACCTAGACCCACATTGTTGGACAATGCAGCCAAGGAGATCGACCGCATACTCGTTAGCACTCGTTGGAGGATCCTCCAAAATTGCAGGGTGTACAGGAGTGCCGAGTTCTGTGGTACTGACCAT